CTGGTGCCGTCCCCCTGACGCGCCCCCCCCCCCGCACCCCACTGCAGGATGCCTGGTATCCAGGAGTACCTGCAGCAGCCCCTCCTCAACGGGCTGCGGGACAAGGCCTCCTACGTGCGGAGAGCGGCCGTGCTGGGCTGTGCCAAGATGGTGAAGCTACAAGGGGACTCCGAAGTGGGTGAGTGGGTGCGGGGGGGTCGGGGCGGTGGCCCCCGGGAGCTGGGGGGGGACGGGACACAGGGTGGTCCCCAGGAACCGAGGGCATCCAGGGGCTGGAAGGACGTCCAGGCCTGTGGTTTGTCCTGGTTGTGCCTCTGGGCTGCCCGACAGAAAGGAAGGAGGAGGATGATGATGGGGCTGTCGCTCTGGATGGAGTCCATAGGGCAGCGGTTCCACACCAGCCTGCCCCTCGCCCCCCAGCTCTCACCCCACTGGTCCCACAGCCCCTGCAGACCTCGGGGAGGGGTTGTGGGTTACTGCAGAGCTGGAATTGCTGCTCACCACTTCTCCCAGTTCAAGCTGTTGTCTTTTGTTGGTGATAAATGCTTATAGGTGATGGTTAAATTGCAGCGCGTCGACAGAATTCGCTACAGAGCCTCCTGTTTCTCTGCAGATGGTGCCTTGGTGAACGAGCTGTACAGTTTGCTTCGTGATCAGGATCCCATTGTAGTCGTGAATTGTCTGAGGGCCTTAGAAGAGATCCTGAAGAAGGAGGGAGGAGTTGTCATCAACAAACCCATTGCCCACCATCTCCTCAACAGGTTTGTGTTCTTTGCTGTTAAGATGCTGCCGGAAGCTTCGTTCTTGTTGTTGCATTTTGCATGTGAATAAAGCAGGTATTTCTGGGCTCCTGTCAGAACTTGAAGGGAAGAGTCAGGAACCCAAGGATGGAGGGGCTCATCCCAAGAGAAACCAAATTATTTCTGTGCTAAGGTCTTAAGACTCCTTTTCCGGGGAGTCTTTGCTTCACCTGGTGGTTTGTTTTGGAAATGTAAGTTAATGTGGTTAGGTTTGGGGCTTTTTTTTTGGTGGCAGTATACATGAGATGTTTGTGGGACAGGTATGTTATAGTATATCTCTCCCAGTCTGTTGAAATATATATATATAGCTTATCCATTGTTTGAAGAAATTAACTTTTCTGCAGATAATTCTACATGATGTGGCAAAAGAGGGGTATTGCTGTGCCCAGGGTTCCTGTCATTGTTGCTGTCTGGCTTAGAGCACCAGCAGAAGTGCACGTGACTGGTACTGGGTTAAGCCTATGTCCATAAGCGGGTCAATTCTCTTGAGATTAAATTGGGGTATCTACTTCTGAAGCACCGCATTTGGTTTGGAAAAGAGGGCATAAGGAACTCTGAGGGCTCTGCGCAGCACAGATCTTTTTTCTTGACTCCTGCAAACCGTGTTTCTTCTCTTGGCAGGATGGTGGACCTGGATCAGTGGGGGCAGAGTGAGGTGCTCGCCTTCCTTCTGCGCTACAGGCCCCGCAGCGAGGAGGAGCTCTTCGACATACTCAATTTGCTGGATGGCTATCTCAAAAGCAGCAGCCCCAGCGTTGTGATGGCAGCCACCAAGCTTTTCCTGGTGCTGGCCAAGGAGTACCCCCACGTGCAGGCAGACGTTTTGGTGAGGGTGAAGGGGCCGCTGCTGTCGGCCTGCACCTCCGAGAGCAGGGAGCTCTGCTTCACTGCGCTCTGCCACGTGCGTCAGATCCTTGGGAGCCTTCCTGGCCATTTTAGCAGCCACTACAAAAAGTTCTTCTGTTCGTATTCAGAGCCCCACTACATCAAATGCCAGAAGATGGAGGTGTTGTGTGAGCTGGTGAACGATGAGAACGTACAGCAGGTGCTGGAGGAGCTGAAGGGCTATTGCACCGATGTCTCGGTAGAGCTCGCCCAAGGGGCCATCTTTGCCATAGGTGAGAGCCGTGTCTGGCCTCTGAGGAGCTGCAGCTCTAGACCTTTCATCCAGGCCTTTCTCTGCCCATGTGTGTCTGGGCAAATGCCAAAGCATGTGCCGAAGCAGTCCAGCCTCTGTAGAGCTGCCTCCCCAGGAATGTTTTGTGTGAACATTCACAATTGTGCTGATTCTTTGGGAATTCCTGGCATTCAGCTATTTCAGGTTGCACATAATGTCCTTGAATCTCATTCAAATGTCTGTGTTCTGATGAGACACTCTAAAATCGTGGCGTTTCATCTTATTAATGAGCCCTCTAGTGTTGAATGAAGCTGTAGTGGGTGAAGGAGCTGCTCTAATACCTGCTTGCTCTTTGAGTTGTGGTGGGGGCAGGGTTAAGGTGATTTGGGGCACTCTAGTTTTGTTTCTGCAAGCTTTAAAAGATGTGAGTTTCTATAGTATTCATAAGGAGAAAGCCAGGGATGCTAAAACGCCTTTCTCATGTGTTATGTGTGCCCTGGTTTAACCCCAGCCAGGGCCATGCAGCCGCTCGTGCAGTTCTCTTTTTTCCCAGAAGGGCAGGGCAAAAGGAGGTGAAAGGAAAGATAAAAAGCCTTGTGGGCTGAGATAAAGACAGTTTAATAGAACAATATCAGAAAAGGAAAATAGCAATAATAATAATAATGACATAAGTCACTCTCACCACCCAGTAAATGGGTGAATTGGTACCACTGGCAGTGATCGTGGATTCCTGGCCCCCTGGCCAGCCCCCATTTATGGACTGAGTGTGTCTGTGGTATGAAATATTCCATTGGTTGTTCTATCATTCTGTCCAGGCTCCTTCTCAGCTTCTGTGGGAAGTGGAAAAAAGTAATTGAATATTATAAATAACACCTAGCAATAACTAAAACAATACGCATTATTGACATTCTTTTGATACCCAATCTGAAACACAGCAGCTACTAGAAAGAAAATTAACTCTATGCCAGCTGAAACCAGGACAATGTCTAAGAAAAGTTCAGACTTCTTCTGAGGCATGGCTTCAGAAGGAGGAACCTGTCTCCTGCGTGGAGAACCAGCTCATTCAACTACACTTTCAGAAATCTTAGTCAAAAAGGAAAGGAGAAACACTTTCTTCAAGGTGGGTTGTAATGAACAGTTGGGCTCATGGTTCCTATTTCACTCTGATGCAAGGTTGGCTTTTATGTCCTTTGGTGTCTCTGCAGGCAATATTGCCCGGACCTACACAGAGCAGTGTGTGGGGATTCTGACAGAGCTGCTGGGGCTGCAGCAGGAGCACATCACTTCAGGTAATTGTCCCTGGGGTATTTGCCTGGCTTATGCTCTCAGGGAGAAGGAGCTTTGCTGGGGCTTGTGATCCCAAACTCGAGGCTCTGAAAAGGATTTGCCTTTTAATATAATTGGAACTTCAGGTGGAAGTCTTCCTGGTGGAGTGGGGGCATGTGGTGTGACTGGACATTGGAGTTTTTCCTTCCTACTCTGTAGTGAAGGGGGAGATGGTCACAGCTGTGTTCATGTTCCAATGTGCAGGCTTCTTCCTGGCTGCCACCTGCAGACCTGGGGAGTGAGGGACTCAGCAGAGACATTTTAGTGACTGTTTATGAGGGCCAAGAGGCCAAGATGATTAACAGATCTCATTTTGAGTTCCTGCTAACTGGGACTCTTAGTCTGTCTTCTAAATCTCTGTGATTTCTGTTCCTCATATAATAGTCTGATTCAATTGTACCCAAGCTTCTCTTTTTCTTCTGCTGACCTCAGATCTAACTTCATATCGTTGCTGTTCCTGCCCTCTCTTTTAAATGGTCTTGCTTTCAGTTTTGAAAAGCACATGCTTGCACTCAGCTGCTGAATTAAGTCTTAGGAGCTGCTGGTGTTTCTGTAAATGGGCAGCAGAGTCTTTACAATTTTGACCTAAACTTCGTGAGACTCATTTTGAATTGGCGTTAGTTTTAATGTGTCATTCTAACCTTGTGTGTGTGAACCATCATGAGTCAGTGTCTTTTGAAAGGCTGGGGAATGTCCAGAAGCCAGAGGAACAACTTGAAGTTTCAGTGCTTTATTTTAGCCTTGATGCAGCTTTGCTCTGACGGGCACAGCATCACGGGGCTTTGAAGGAGCGTGTCTCAAATCACAGTCACACGCAGGACACTGGCCTCCCTGGCTAAGATTTGAAAAGTTTATTGAGTGGGGTTTTTTGGAGTGGTTTTTTTTTCCCCCTGGTGGTTTTATGGCTCCTGGGGAATGCTGAGTGTTCTGTTCTGTTGCAGCAGTGGTACAGGCTTTCCGGGACCTGGTCTGGCTGTGTCCGCAGTGCACGGGTGCAGTGTGTCGGGCACTGCCTGGCTGTGAGGACGCCATCCAGGACAGCGAGGTGAGGAGGCCTTGTGCCATGGGCTGGCAGCTGCTGAGGGAGGGTGGACAATGGCTGTTTGGCTTTCCTTTGGGTTGCCATTGGCAGGACAAAGATCACAAATCTGCAAAAGACCCGTTCCCGGATGTCTCTTTATTTCGTGTCAGCGTTCTTGCTATTTGATCTGTGGTTCCTTCAGGGCAAACAAGCACTGATCTGGCTCCTGGGTGCACACGGCGAGAAGGTACCCAATGCCCCCTATGTTTTGGAGGAGTTTGTGGAGAACGTGAAGTCGGAGATGTTCCCAGCAGTGAAGATGGAGCTTCTGACAGCCCTGGTGCGACTCTTCCTGTCTCGTCCTGCCGAGTGTCAGGACATGCTCGGGAGGCTGCTCTATTACTGCATAGGTGGGTTCCCTTCCTTCTCTTTCACCGATGCTGTAGGACGAACTTTTGGGGACCTGGTCTGGCTGCATCCCCAGTGCCTTGATCCTGACTGTGAGGGAGCCATCCAGGTGGGACGGCAAGATGGCTTTTTGCCCTGGGCTGCTGCTTGGCCCCTGGCTGTGTGGTTGGTGGGTGTGACAGGCTTATGTTGTGTTGCTGGAAATCTGGTTTCTATGATTAAGGCTTAGTACTTCAGATTAGTCTGGATGGTAGAATTCTCCATGAACAACAGGCTACCCAGGGAGGTGGTTGAGTCACCATCCCTGGATGTGTTTAAGGGATGTTTAGATACAGTACTGAGGGATATGGGGTAGGGGAGGACTTTGTAGAGTAGGGAATCTATGATTAAGGCTTAGTACTTCAGGGAAGAAATCTGGTTTCTATGATTAAGGCTTAGTACTTCAGGGAAGTCTGGATGGTAGAATTCTCCATGAACAACAGGCTACCCAGGGAGGTGGTTGAGTCACCATCCCTGGATGTGTTTAAGGGATGTTTAGATACAGTACTGAGGGATATGGGGTAGGGGAGGACTTTGTAGAGTAGGGTAGATGGTTGGACTCGATGATCCCAAGGGTCTCTTCCAACCTGAACGATTCTATGATTCTAACTATGTCCCTCTTGTTCCCAGAGGAGGAGATGGATATGGCAGTAGCTATGATTCTAACTATGTCCCTCTCGTTCCCAGAGGAGGAGATGGATATGGCAGTACGAGACCGTGGGTTGTTCTACTATCGCCTTTTGCAGTCGGGTGTGGAAGAGGTGAAACGGGTCCTGTGTGGCCCCACTTCTGACCCCTCTCTGGGGCTCCTGGAAGACCAAACTGAGCGACCTGTGAATACATGGGCTTCAGAGTTTAATACCCTTGCACCGGTTTATGGCAGAGAACGCTGGGCACTTGTCGCTGCTCATGAGCCCCCAGAACCCTCTTACGCTTATTCTCCTTGTACTGACTCCAGGAACAGAGACACAGGTAACCGGCCTCACCTTCCCCTGGGATTCTCCCCTTGTCAGTAGATGTTTCCACATGGGTTTCTTTGGAAGAAGATTACAGTGCTTTGAGAATGCTGTCTTAGTGTTCTATTTTGTGCAATGCTGAAGGCATTGTGATTCCAGCCCTCTTCATCTGACAGCTCCGTAAGATGTTCTTTGTGAAATTGGGAGCTGCACCATCTCACGTGTTTGTGGTTTCATTTCAGAGTCGCTGATTTCTGAAGGGAATGAAGATGTCCTCAAAGTTCATCCTGATACAGGCAGCCTGACCTTAATTCCTGATGTTCACCTGACAGCAGAACAGTTTGAGAAGACCTGGCTGAGCTTGGACATGAGCTGCCGCCTCTCTCTGCCCTGGCGCGGGGCTGTTTACCCCGATGCCGTACAGACGGCCCTTCACGTTGTCCACATCCAGACTATTGCTATGAGCAAAGCTGGTGTCCAGCCCTGGAAAGCTTATCTCGGGGCTCAGGATGACACAGGATGCCTCTTCCTAACGGAGCTGCTGCTGGAGGAGGAGGATGCGGGGATGCAGGTTTCGGTGAAGCAGAGCGAGGCGAGGCCGGAGGCGCTGCAGGCCTTCGTGTCGGTGCTGAGGACCGTCATGGGGACAGTTGCTGGACTGGGGTCCTGAACGCTCCCTGCTCCCAGTGGGATGTTGCTGGGGGCACAGGAAGCGTTTTTCTCTGGCTTCACTTGCTGTATGTGATGCTGGGTTTGTACTGTTAACACTGCCGGAGTGTTTGCCCCTTCCTGGGCTGGGCCGAGGGAGCAGAGCGACGGGGGCGGCTGCAGCCTGGACGGGGCAGGGTGAGGGGTCTGTCCTCCCTCCAGGCTGGGAAGGGACAAGGGAACGTGTTCCTGAGCCCGCTGCTGCTGGCGTGACACACGGGAGTGGTGGCATCTATGGTGATTGTCACAACCTGTACGGAATATTACATTTTTGCTGATGCTGATTTTTACCGTTTGTTACTTTGTGACTAGAAAGGGTATTTAAGGGTTTGTTTTCTGCGTCGTACTTATTTCTGTGCGGTTCTGTCGCCCTGTCCTCGCAGTACAGTACGCGGGACGGGGCACTGCTGCGTGACTAAATTTTTGCAGTAAATTTTTAAAGTTACACTCTGGCCAGCCATGGGACTCGTTTTGTGAAGAGTGTGTCGACAGCACTCCCTCTGCTCCGCTGAAAGTCATGGGGAGTCGGACTTTGTACAGCGTCATGGGAAGTGTCCTCGTCACAGCCACGTTTGACAGAGTGGCAGAGCCTGAGGAAGACTCCGTGGCTGAGGCTGCAGCCACCGGTCACGGTAACGGGGCTTTATGTTGTGCCCCAAGGAGTGCCTTTGTTAACCCTGTTCTGTAAGACTTACTGTAATTGAAAATCTATTTTAATGACTGTTGTACCTCTAAATTGCAATATGCCTTCCATGCACTTGGCTGAAACACTGCTGCTACTGTTAAACAACAGGTTTTAGGTTTTATTTCTGAACTTCCTAATAAAGATGTGAATCATTCCTTGTTGGTTCAACTCTGAAGTCTGTGGGATGGAGTCATCTGATCACTACCGAATCCTGAGAACTGCGGTCCATCTCCTGCCTCTGTATCAGACAGGGCTTTTCTCTCTCAACTTCTGTGAAGCAAGGCTTTAAGGAGTTATTGTGAAAAAAATTATTTCAGTCTGATAGGCCAAATTACTGTAAGAGGTGAGTTACCTATGGATGAGCTCAAAGGTAGGTAAGTTGGCTCTAGCGGGGCTCCTCTTCACAGTTTCCAGTGTTTTTATGCATATGTTGTTTTCTTGTCCTTGAGGAGAGCTGCACTGGAGCATTGGAATTATGCAGTTTTCAGAAAAAAAAAGCTGTTGAAAAAATAGTTGTTGTCAAACCATCATTTCTTCTGCTGTGACTGAGGAAATGTGTGTGACTAGACCCCAGTCTAGTCTCTGCGACGGGACTTGGAGATTTTGGCCTTTTATCCAGACACCTTGCTTGATGAATGGACAGGTTTGCAGTCTTTGATAACTTGTATATATTTCAGTGTTCTTAACAGAAAGGGCTTATCTCAGTACTAAACCACACCCATAGTTTGAATTACAACAGTTGAGTGAGTTAATAATTATCTGCCGTGCTGTCCCGGGGAGGAGCCAGGCATCGCAGTTTTCCCAGAAGGAAGAACCTGTGCAGCTCTGGGAAGAGGAATCCAAAACCCGGAGGCAAAGCCACCTGAGAAGGAGCGTGGTGTTGCTGTGGCCGTGGCGACGTGCTGCAATGGTGACCTTCGAGAAACAGACGGAGTGTGTTGTCAAGGCCTTGTTCTTGGACCTGCTGAGCCAAGATGAGGTCTGCTGCCGGAGCCTGGAAACAGACTCGGGAGGTAAAGCCTCTTTGGGGAGGAAAAAGTGGTTTCTTTGGCGCAGATGAGAGGAGTGCTTTGGCTGAATGCTTGAAGGAAGGAGGCTGTAGTTGGAGTCGTTGAGTTTCCTAAAACGCAGGCCTGCAATGACTTCCAAGTGACCCCTGTTTTGGGGGCAATGTTAGAGTGAGGTGGAGGTTTTTGGGTGCCAGGCAGTGCCCACCACAGTCTGCCTTGGCAGGGCCAGCACTGGGGGCTGCCAGGGGCTCCCCCCTCCACACTCTCTGTACCGGGGCTGCGGGAGGGAAGGGGCTGCCAAGCCCCATGTGGGTCCCCCGGTCCCCAGTAACCAACCAACTGGGTGAGACAAGTTCTAACTGTCACTATCAATAAGCAAGCTCATATTGCTTATTGGATAAAAACAGTTGCTTTAATGTGTAAGACAGAATGGAGTCTTTGCTTCCCAAACTCCCACTGTAGCTTGGGCTACTTCAGTTTGCTGGGCAATGCTGCAGGAAACCCAGAACTTCACCTGTATTATGTTGCTTTTCCCATTATTTTCTTGGCAACAAACCAGCTAAAATGTCCCAAGAGACACGGGTATCTTGCTGACACTAAAGAGCAAGCAAAGTTCACTTCTCAAACGCTTCATGGAAGTTAGTTGTTTTGCCTGAAGGAAAAGTCTCCGTTCATGGAGTTTCCTGGATCAGCCGCCTGTTCCTCCGCTGTCCCGAGGGCTGGGGAGCACAGGCTTCGGCTCCAGGCTGCAGGCACCTCGACGAGAGGAGCTGAGCTGGAATTAATTAGAGACTGGGTGAGGGAGGGAGGGTGGACCAGGAAGCAATGCCTCCAGATGAAGTTGTCCATTGCTTTATGTCGAAATATCCTGCTTTCAGTTCCTTATGACTCTGTCAAGCGTGGAAATGGTTTTGCTGAAACCTTCACTGTTGGGTAGCTCCTTCTGGCTGAACCTTGTTTTGGCAATATTCAGAAAAAATAATCAATACTCTGTTGTTTTTTCCCCCTCAGGATGCTTTAAGGGAAAAATGCTTTAACTTTTTGTACACTTTTTGTAGCGTAGCTGAGAAGTTCTAATGGTTTTCTATACCTGACACTTGTAAAACATGCCTTTTGTTCCCTTGCAAAAACTTCCCCAAATTAGGATGTCTATGAGGCTTTGACACATTGCGATGTGCGCTTGCTCAGAAGAGGCCTTGAGTATATCTAAATTCTCCAGAGGCTGCAGGTGGTGGTCCATAGCCTCCAAACGCTGGGGGGTGGAGGCTGGACTTTGCCATCCGGTTGGTGCTGCTGTGTCTCTGCGGTCGGAAGAGAGGGATGAGAGGGTTTCCGAGTCCTCTGACCTCCTGTGTGCTTCTGGCAGCCTGGGGGGAAGGAGCTGCCAAAATCTTGATGGGTGAAAGAGAGGCCTTAGGAATGTCCATGGGGATGAACCAAGACTTGAGCATGAAGCAGCTGAGGTGGGAGGAGAGAGACCTGGACAAACCCCTGGTGCAGAGCCCCTTGGTCCCTGAAGTCCATGAGTACCTGAATGGCTGTGATATTTCTTAGGGACTCGGGTTTGACATTTCCTAATGCGTCCTGTCGGGTGCATGAACCTCCTGGGTGCTGGAGGCGGTAGCTGCCATGGCCCCTGCTGAGGGCAGCATGTGGGGCAGCTGAGGTGGCCAGGCCATGGCCCTGCCTTCTCTGCCCCTTGCCCTCTCTCCACCCTAGGGTTGGATCTGTTCGAGATTCAGGGACCCTCGCTGTCCAGACCCCAGGAAAGCTCAGGGGATGATCTGGACATCCCGTTTGACCCGGTGGTGATCGCCAGTCGCCTGCGGCAGATAGGAGATGAGTGCAACATGGATTTCGAACGTTTTGGCTCAGAGCTTCTTACTGAAGTGCTCAGGGGACAGGTAAAGCACACCCCGTCCTCTCCTGCCCCTCGTCCACAGCCCCTTGTGTCACCCTGTGCTGGGGAACAGAGGGGCCAGGGAGCAGCACAGCTCGCTCTGGGGGGACAGGCATGGCCCCCACAGCCTCCCTTTGCTGCGGGACAGACACTGGACTGTGGGAGCTGCCTTCCCTCCTTCTCTCTTCCAAAAGAGCTGCTTGTTATCCCCCGGGAAGCCTGAGCCCGTCTGGGCCGAGCTACCATGGCAGGAGCTGCTCTGGAGCAGGTGGGAGAGGAGGAGGAAGACTGTGGTGAGGGGCAGAGCAGGTGCTGCAGCCACCTTGGCCCAGAGATCTCACCCTTCGGGCTGGTTGCAGCTCTGGAAATCCCATGGCCACCCTCCCGGTCCCTCGGCCGCAGCTGGAGCTGCAGCACAGAGAGCCCTGCCCCGGGCGCTCTGCGCTGCATGGGGTCACTGCTGGAGTCGAGGGTAGAAGAAAATGCAGGAGTTTAGCTGAATGTTGGATTTTGAGGCAAGACTTACTTATCACATGGTCATTTAAAAAGAAGCTCAAACTGCCCTCTTGATGCTTGCAGACGGAAAAGTTTGGGGCTGCTGTGGATTCTGTCGTCAAGAACTGGAGTAACCAGAACCCTGAGCTGACCTATGAGACAGCTTTTCTCTCTGTTTCTGTGAAATTGCTAATGCATCTTGCTAAGAAAGCCCCGGGTATGCTGGATCTCAGACACATCACAGGAGCCATTAGTGGAAATTCTCAAGTGAGAAACTACATTGAGGCCCACGGCGGATGGGTAAGGACGGGAAGGTGGCGGTGATGTTTGCTTGGGCACTTTCAGTCCTTCCTTTGAGTCTCTCCCCTCTCCCTCCTGCTCGCTCGGCTCCTCACTGACACCCAGCATGTCCCCAGGACCAGCTAACCCCGTGTAGCTGGGGGAGCTGGGATTTGCTGGACACCTTGGCGAAGTTTTACTGGAGTCGGTGTCAAACTCCCCATCTGCTTCTCTGTCTCAGGGTTCAATTCCTGATCTCAGTGTCTTGGGAGCTCAGCTTGCTCCCTTTAATAAGAATCAAAATAATGAAGGGAGGGCTATACAGAAAGCACCGTCCTGCCCTTGCAGCTTCACAGACCCACTTGCTGTGTTTTACCAGGGGAAAGGATGAAATCAGTGTGGGAGAGGGTCACACCGTCCCTCCATCCCGTGTCCTTCTCTTCCTGATGGTTCCCTTAAACTTGCCTTGAATTCTTTTTCTAAAGCAAATACTCATGGGTGGGGTTTTTTTTGTTTTCAGGGGAACTTTGGCAATTGAGAGGAAGGGCTCTGCCACTTTCCAGAAGGTGAAGCTGGGAGAAATGCTGTTGAGCTTCTTCAGGAGGACGCACCTAGTACATAAGCAACATGTAAAAGAGATTCTGTACCTCTAAATGAAAAAAATAATAAATTTTTGGTTTTATTAATTTATTTCTCTTCTTGTGTTTCTATTAATTTAGCCATAAAAGTGGGCTTCACTCTTCTTCAAGGTTTCTGGGTTAGTGCTCAGTGCTGCAGACTCATCAGGTCAATATCTGATTTAAAACAAGTTTCCATTAGTTATTCTAAAGATCTCTCTGTTACTCTCAGGTGATTCAAAGTCTTATTTTTGCAAAATTAAAATTTGCCCTGATTTTAAACTGAGTGATCAGCAGCCCTCTGCCTTTCAGCAGCTGGATACAGAAATCTTACAGCTATTCCTCACCCAATCTGCACGAACACACAGAAGCAGGAACACGTTTAATGACTCTAGTTACATCTGGAAAGAGAAATAGACTTGGTGCAGCCAGTCTGAAGTCTTTGTGAAAAATGTGAGATACTGGAAAGATCAAGGTTGTGATTCCCATAGCTGCTTTGGGGTTTTTTGGAGGATTGTTGGTTTTAGTTTAGTTTAGTTTAGTTTTCCTCTCTTCTACAAGCAGAGAAAATGGCCTTAGAGAACTTTGCTCTCTGCATCTCCTTCCCGCTTCGGCACAGCCTCCACTGGGTCCTATGGGTCTTTAGAGTGCCTGTGTCACTGAGAGTGAGGGAGGTGAATTAGGCTGCCATAATTAATTGGATTTCTGTCACCTACTGGAGTCCGATTTGACCCTCTCTCCTGGCACAAGCTCCCAGACGTAGGGAGTTGTGGCTGGAAGAGCTGTTGATGGGTTTTCCTTGTTGAGACGCAGTTGTGCAGTTGGAGGGAGCACGACGTGCCAGGTGGGTTCAGGTGCTCAGCACCTGCCTGAAGTATCCCTTCAAAACATATTGCAGGTAACGTGGAAAACAGGCAAAGCCACAAGTGTGGAGGGGACCTGTGGATTTTGCATCCTGCTTTAGGGAATTTTCGTAGTTGCAGCATATTTCAAGCCTGAAGCCTCTGCTGGCTGCCAAGCACAGCCCAGGGACATGGGTGCCCGGTGGCTGCTCTCTATGCTCACCCCTCTGACTGCGGCCGAGCTGCTGGCCACAGCCCGACACGCTGCTTAAAGGAGTCAGATGTTGGGGTGCTTGGCCCTGGTCTCCAGCATTTTGGCCATCTTCATCGCGCCGTGCACGGGGAAGGGCTGGGGTGCCCAAGGGACGGGGGCAATTTGGCTCCTGCCCCCGGCGCTGCCCACGCTGCTGAGCGGTGCACGCAACCTGCCTGTGGATTTAAAAGGAGGCGCTTTGGGCCCCAGGTCCCTGTGTTTTGTTTTGTTATTTGGCCACGGTATCTGTTGCGCACTAATTTCCTTTAAGGCTTGTGATGAAGTCAGTAAACCACAGCCGCTGCGAGCGCTCCCGGGGCTGGTGCTTTCCGCTGCCGCAGGCACTTGACATGTCCCTTCCCGGGTGGCGCAGGCCAGTCCCGCTCCCTCCACAGCAACATGGACCAAAGGCAGATTCTGCAGCAAAACCTGGAAAGGATCCGAGGCAAGAAGCTGAACCGAGCCCAGTTTGTAGAGGAGTTTTTGGTAAGTTGGCTTAAGGCACGGCTCCGTGTTTCGGCTGATTTTAAAGGGAACTGCTCAGTCACTTCTCCTCCAACAGGGGTGCGATTTGCGTGGGACAATAAGATTTTCTATGAATTTTACAGCAGAAATAGACAGAGGAGTTAACTGGGGTGAAGGAAATGTAAAGGCAGAAAAGTAATTTAATAGTTTGCTTTCAAAGCAAAACCGTGTGCTTTTTAAATAATTACCCAAGAGCTTCCTGTTTTCTGCTCTGCGAATGCTCTTGTCAAGACGCGGTTTCCCTTTGCCGGGTGATAGAACTGGGGGTACAGAGAGGAGTGGGGAGCCCCTGCCCCTTCTCCCCATTGCAGCCTGTTGTACCCGTGACACACGTGTTCCTGCCAGGGATCCCCGGTTGCTGTTTGAGACGGCTTTTCCTTTTTTCATTTCAACAGACCCCCCCTGCCCCGGTACCCACTGCGGAGCGGGGAGAGGGTGTTCAGACACAGACCCCAGACTGCTCCCCCATATCAGCCCCGGGCTCCTCGGCCAGGGCTGAGGAGGTGCCGACCCGAGCAGCTGGACAGACCCTTCTCCAGCCTCGGGTGCTGCTGCGTGGAAGGGTTGTGCGTCCATTTGCAACGAGTGCGCGTGCCCCACGTCCAGCGACGCTTCTGGCCCCTCCTGGAAGTTAATTTCTTGTTCCCTAAAGGCAAAACTAGCAAAAAAATGCTGATGGTTCTCACTTTCCCCTGCGTTCTGCAGCATCTAGCTGGTTGAGATGTGTGCAGTGCCCTGATCTGGGAGCACACTGACATCTTTCTACTCGTTTGGATGGCAGGACAGCAACCCGGGGTCTCACAGCTAAAGCTGGGGATGGGGATGGCTGCTGGTCCACCAGCTGGAGGAAGGTTGCTCTGGCAGGTTTGCCTGGGCTGCTCAGAGAAGCCAAGGCACTGCCTGGCTTTGGCAGACACGGGGAAGGGCAGAACTGGTGTCTCTGTAAGATCTGAGATGTCTCAAAGTCCAGAATCACCACCGGCCCCGAGGGCCCCTGTGGGAGGGCTGCGCTGGGCAGTGGGCTCTGGGGGAGGTGTGGGGGTTACACAGGGGTGCCCATGAGATCCAGCCTGGCTTTGCCACACCAGCAGAGTCTGGCACTTCAGACACTTGGGAAAAGCTTAGTGCTCGGTTTCCAGGTGTCTGGGCTGGAGGGAAGTGATTAATTTGAGCCTGCAGTGACAGTCCGTTGTTCCATGGAACAAAGTGCTGTCACAAGCTGCTGAGCTTCCTCCTCCTGCTCAGTACCAGAGCGGTGCCGTGCCGTGCCGCGGAGCCTCCCTGCGTGTGCCAAACGTACAGTCAGTTTTCTGACCGAAATGGCAGGTAGAAGTGGTCAGGGCTGTGTTTCCTCTTGTATCTTGTGATCCTCCCAGGATGGCCCGAGCTGTCGGCCACTTCAGCAAGTGCAGCAGCCTCAACAGGCGATTGTGTTGGCTTTCATTTCCAAACTTGGTAGAAATGTTAAATGCTGTTTCTCCATCCTAATGCCTCCCCTCTCTTTGTGTGAACAAGCAAATTTGTACATGCAAATTGCGGTGATGACTGTAAATGACAGGATTATTTTTTTTTGTTCGAGTCCCTTTCTTCTGTTTGTGCAGTCCCACAGCCAGAGTTTGACCCTTATTGTTCTCGCTTGCTTTCCTGTATGTAGCCATTTCTCGAGCATTTTGATATCACTTTATGCAGGGACAGAAAAAGTAAGGTGATTCAGAGCCTCAGCTACGAGAAGACTGGCTTTGGTACTCAGTGATGGCCCTCTGTGAAAGCTGGCCCTGGAAGCTGGGGTTGCACTGGAAGGGGCAGGGGGAGGACAGGACCAACACCAGGAGAGCTTGGGATGTTACAGGGCTGTGCAGTCTACAAACCCCATCCTGCTCCCTCCTGTCACGCTGTGCCTGCCCCGCTGCTCTTGGTTAATAGGGACTGGACAGGTGGCTGTCCTGGGCCTCCTGGACCTTCTTCTAGACTCATTCCATCCAGGTTGGTGAGATGCGACTCCCATGGCATTGTGGCTGGAGAGCAGCAGGATTTAGGGTTTGAAAATTGCAGTGTAGTGTTAAAAACCATCAACTCTGACTTGGAGCTGTATTTGAATATCTGTGCACAGAAATACTGTGGAGATGAGATACTCGTGGCTGTATTTACCTTTTATCTGTGCTATTGCTAAGGGGCTGCTGGGCTCGGTCAAATATGGACAAGCTGCAAAGACCTCCAGCTCCCGGCGCGGCCCCTGGGCAAATACTGTCCTGTAGTTTGAGGCACCCAGGCCCCAACGGGCGTCATGTCCTACGGGGGCTCATCTCGAGTGGGCTGGAGTCAGGGGGTTTCTCAGCTCCTGCAGCTGCTGATACATGGGGTCAGCAGCAGGGAAGGACAGGGATGGGATCCTCAAACAGGACGAGAGCTTTTGGGAGAGTGGAAACGCAGACGCTTCTGAGCTCCCGTGGGAAGGTCAGTGGTTGCTGACTCTTGACGCAATTTATGGTGAGCACCCAAAAATCAGGACCGTAAAACCATCAGGACTCCTGTGACTCCTGCTGCTGTGCCTGAGATCTCTCGAGCGCTGGGGAGGGCTGGGGAGGGACTGGGACTGGTTTTGGTTTGGTGGCCCTGAGACCAGCGGGCTGTTTTTCCCCACACCAAGAGCGACCGAGCCACCGTTCCCACTTCCAGGGACTCAGGTCATGGTGAGGTCCACGGGAGGAGAAACCCTCTCACCTTCCAGCTCAGGCGTGTCCGTGGTCCCTTCCCTTTGCTTTCTCCCCCAACATGCAATCCCAAGTGCTCTCCTGTGCCAGCCCCATGCTGGACCCAGCAGGGATGCCCAGGAGAATGGCTCCAGGGCGGTGGGACAAGAGACTTGTCCTTTGGAGTGTCAAACAGTAGAGACACTGATTAGAGAAATGGCCTTTTGTTTTAAATCAAAAGCACCCCTTGATGGTAAGGTAGATAAAAAGCTATGAAGGAAAAAAGTACAGCAAGAACGGTGCTTTCGAAGTTGATGGTAATGAACATTGTGTGTTATTTAAAAACTGATGTCAGTGAAATAAAATTCTGTGCTTTGGCAGAAAAAAGATGCTTGAACTCTCCAGGAGTGCTACAGCTTCATCCTGGAAATGAAAGAGACGAGAGACTCATACCCTGAGGGTCGATCCTAGAGCTTCTCCGTTCTCTTTCATCAGTGCATGTCACTTCTTTGCCCTGATTGCTTGTGCTCCTTCACTGGCTTGAGTGTTGCTGTTTGCAGCTACAGATGGGAGCACCTTTACCAGAGCGAGGAAAATCAATCGATCCCTCTGTCTTTTCTGATGTCATTTGTCAAAGGTGGTTTAACGCTGTTACTCCTCTTACCTGGGTGCCATTTCTACTGAGCATGGTTCCCCTGAGTCTCACTTATTTGTGAGGGCGATGCTTTGTCTGCTGCACAAAGGCATCTCTCTGCTCCAGGAGCCGCGTGTGGGCACCGCCTCAGCACACACTTTCCATTCCTCAGCAGCCCCAGCCAGGGCTCTCAGGTGGCTTCTGTCTCTGCTTTTGCTCTGAGTGCCTCGAGAAAAGCCACTCAGGAAAGAATTAATGGTGCAGATCACGCTTTGCGGTAGCGAACCTGACCCCTGGAGACCTTCACACGTTACTCTCTAGTGGAGTGCTGTGTGTAGCACTTCTGCTGTAATTTGTTCCATTCTTTTATCACAGAAGCTGAAAAGGCAGTCAACAAAGTACAGATCGGATAAAACCTACCCTACAGAAGCATCTGAGCAACCAGAGAACATCAAGAAGAACAGATACAAGGACATCTTACCCTGTAGGTTGGAAATGGCAAATGTCCCTATTCAGCCTTTTTTTTTGTGCCAGCTCGAGTCTGTTCTCTTCCTCCCGTTCCTGCCCGCAGAGCTGCTGGGTTGTGAGCACCTGCTGCTGTGGGTTGGCCTGGAATTCTGCTGGTCAGATTTAAGGCTTTATCTCTGACTGTCGCAGCGTGTGCTCTGGAAGTCTTTGGCACGTATTTTCTACAGACAGAAAAACTTCCATTCAGTAGGAAGCCCATCCTCTAACGGTTGTCCTTGCCACCTCTGGGTGCTATTGCAGCCACATGCAAGGCCTGGTAGAGAATGGCTTTGGACAAGGATGATCAGAGAACACTGTTCCTTCCATCCATGCTAGCTTGAAAAAAATCAATCTACACTCTTGGTTGAGCCTGTAAGAGGGAGTGCAGGGTGATGCCAGGCTTGGTCTGCTCTATCATCGGGGATCAGTGTTGCTCTGGGGCAGCATCTGCAGCTCTTGCTGAAGCCCTCACCACCACCCAGAAAGGGACCTTGCCCATCCCTGCCTGCGTGGGGGCCATGGTGACTGCATGGAAGGAGGCTTGTGCAGCCCCTCGTCTGTCTGGGGGGAGCTCCCAATGTGTGGGTTCCCCCAAAGCACCTCGTGCTGCACTCTGAGGAGCTCAACAGTAACTGCTGCTGCTTCTGCTTTTGTGCCTGCAGTTGACCACAGCAGAGTGGAGTTGTCCCTGATCACATCAGATGAAGATTCTCATTACATCAATGCCAACTTCATCAAGGTATTGCTTCTTTCGTGCTGTTTTGTCATGCAAAGGTGTTTGTAGCACCCCTTTAGTGCTGCCTGGCCGCGTTGTGGCCGGAGGAGCGTGTCCCGTGGCTGCGGTGAGTGAAAGGACTGTGCAGCAGCTTCTGGGCTGCGCTCGAGGAAAATCCATGTACAGAAAACGTGTGTGATCAGTGAGTCCTTCCCACACGCCCCGGCAGCGCCGAGGGAGAGGGCTGCAGGGCGAGGGACGTGCACCCACGTCGGGGTGGGCGGTGGAACAGTTTGTGGCTCATAGCCCCCACTTCCTCCTCGGCGTTGCTGCCTTTGGTAGGTGACAGTGGTGCAAAACTGCCTGTGGCCAGAGTCACCTCACCTGGGAGCAGAGCACGGGCAGGAAACTCTGCACTGCAGCACGGCTGAGAGCCACCGCAGCGGCTGGCAGCGGGGTGGCCGGTGAGGGTCATCTCCATGGGGTGCAAAGCGTGTTTTGGAGCTCTGCTGTGCTCACAGCCCTCCTCTGTAGGTTTAGACTGGACATTAGGAAACAATTCTTCACAGAGAGAGTGGTCGGGCATTGGAATAGGCTGCCCAGGGAGGGGGTTGAGTCACCATCCCTGGCTGTGTTTAAGAACCGTTTAGATGTGGTGTTGGGGGATATGGTGTAGGGGAGAACTTTAGAGTAGGGTGGATGGCTGGGCTCGATGATCCCGAGGATCTCTTCCAGCCTAGATGATTCTGTGATAGACAGGCAGGCAGACAGAGAGATAGATGATAGATTTCTTTCATTCTCCACTGTAATGACCGAGGGCTCTGTGTAACCTGTCTGCAGAAGAGCAGACCTTCACAAGGGGGTTGGGGTTCATTCTTTGGCCACCAGCCCCAGCAGTGCCAAGCTGTGCCCCGCCATCACCTCTGGTGATGCACCACCTGCCTCAACGTCACCTCCAAGCTCCCAAACGTGCTGCAAGAGCTGGTGTTTTCTCTGGGAGCAGATCTCACCTCGAGCCCAGCTCCCTGCTTGGGTCTGTCTCTGGGGGGTTTGCACACCATTCAGTTCTGGTTGCTTAATTTAATGTAAGTGCCTAAAACTTAAGTATGTGAAAGCCCTTCTGAAATCTTAATTGTCTCATTGAAGTAAGATTGAGAAAGAGGGATGATTTTATTTCTGCCAGTGAACTGTGCAAAGATGTCTCCATGTCTGATTTGAATGCTGTTTTAGGGCGTCTATGGGCCAAGAGCGTACATTGCAACCCAAGGTCCTCTCCCCACTACTGTCATTGACTTCTGGAGGATGATTTGGGAGTATAAAGTCCTGGTAAGGTGCAGAGTTATATACCTTTATTTTTTTTTGAAAGAAAAGATTTCTGTACAGCCAGCCAGAAGTCCTTTTTGACTGAGCAAAGAGTGGGAGGGTCAGGGTTTTACTCCAGATGTTGTGTGTGCCCTGCATCCTTGCCATAAGCCTTCTCCACACTCGTGCTGAGCCAGAGATCTGCTTGTGGCTGTCTCTGCATTTGGGCTCTGAGCAGGAAAGGTCCTTGTGCCCAGGCTGTGGGTGATGTCCCCGGGTTGATCTGCCCAGGCTGTGGGTGATGTCCCTGGGCTGATCTGCCCAGCACTCGGGTGTCTGGGGAAGGCATCCCACAGAAATTCCTCGTTGCCGTTAAGAACCTGCAAGTGATTTTGCTGCCTGGATAAGAAACTTGTGTTCAGACTTTTCTAATGAACCTTCTTTCTGCAGATTGTGGTCATGGCTTGTATGGAGTTTGAAATGGGAAAGGTGAGTAACGTGTCAGAGATGGCCTCTGCGGTGACGGTGCCAGGGCAGGGTGGAGAGAGGCAGATTTTTATTAAATCTGATCAGTGGCAGCGAGTTTGTGTTCGATACAGGCTGTTTCCTGAGTCTCCAGCTACAGACTCTTACACCAGTTTCCAGCAGTGTAGCTGGTGTCTCTTGGGGGGGCAACCAGCAATGATGGATGGGGGGCTGGGGGGCTGGAACCGGCCTCCTCCTGGCAGGAATTTGGCAAAGTGGGACAGGAGAGGGTGTGGGTGGTGAATAACCAGAACCAGCAATGATGGATGGGGGGCTGAGGGGCTGGAATCGGCCTCCTCCCGGTAGGAGTTTGTCCAGCAAAGTGGGACAGGAGAGGGTGTGGGTGGTGAATAACCAAACGTGTCCTGCTTCTCACAACAGAAGAAATGCGAGCGGTACTGGGCCGAGGAGGGCTCTCCCCAGCAGTGCGGTCCCTTCACCGTCACCTGCGTGAGTACGGCTGTCACCATCGTGTCACCAGTGGTAGGAACGCGTGTCATCCCCAGAAAATGTGACTCTGACTTCTTGTTCCGCAGGAAGCCGAAGAGAAGAAAAATGAGTATGTGATTAGGACCTTAAAGGTGACCCTGAATGAGGTGAGTAGGAAAGGCCAAGGCAGGAAATGCATTTAGGTAGGTTTTTTCATATAAATAATATATTCAAATATGCACACTTTGTGAAGAAAATTTTATGGTGCTCAGCCTGCTATTTTAGATTTGACAGTAGCTGAAGGAATAAAGAAAGTAAAAAATTAATTAACCCAAAATGTCAGTTTCTGAAGCTGTTTGTCAGTCGTGGCAAATCAGACCCCCCTGGGTGAGCGAGGCCAACAGGTAAATCAAAAATGTCATAAAATTGCAATGCTCCTTTCGTTCAAAATGTCAGTTTCTGAGGCTGTTTGTCAGTTGTGGCAAATCAGACCCCCCTGGGTGAGTGGGGCCAACAGGTATCATCAAAAATGTCATAAAACTGCAATGCTCCTTTCGTAGCACGACCGTCTGCAAACTGCACCTCTAACCTTTGCCTCCTGCTGCAGTCGGGGATGGAGATGTCTGCAGCTCGACAGCTTCCCCCTGTCATGCTGGTGTCCTGGTCTGTGTCCCGGGAGCTGTGGCAGTGTCCCCTCAGTGGCACGGGGTGGCCCTGAGCCTGCCAGCACTCTCTCCTCTTCCAGGAAATCCGCACCATCCGCCAGTTCCACTATAAAAACTGGCCGGACCATGATGTCCCCTCATCCATTGACCCCATCCTGGAGCTCATCAGCGAGATTCGCTGCTACCAGCCGGACGACAGTGTCCCCATCTGTGTCCACTGCAGGTGGGTGAGCTGGTCATCGGGGGGACGGGTGGCCACAGCGTGTGGCAGCCACACAAACCTGTGGCCAAGCTCCTCTGGTGGAAGTCCGAAGGCAAAGATGTCCTCTGGGGACAGCTGGCATGGCTGGGTGGCCTGAGAGGAGAGAGGTAGCAGTTGGCTAGGAGGCCACCAACACCAAGCACGTCCCCGTGTGGGCTGGTCACCACAGGAGGAGCGAGAAGTGCCACGGTAGCACCAGCCATGCCCTCTCACCCGCAGCAGCACTGTGGGCAGGAGCCTTTCCTGGGGCAGGGGAAGGTGCACAGGGCCATCGTGTGGGTCTGCACCCACTGTGGTGTGGGACGGGAGGGTCACAAGAGGCTTTTTCAAATATCCCTGCCAGAAAAGGCAGCGTTCCCGTCCTCTGCCCCTGCTAGCGGCCCTGCTGTGGCTGTCGTTGCAGTGCTGGCTGTGGGAGGACAGGAGTCATCTGTGCCATTGACTACACCCAGAAGCTGCTGAGGGACGGGGTGAGTGTCTGCCTGGTCAGTGGCTGCCTGTGGCACCCCTGCATTGCTGTCCCCCCCTCGCCTTCTCTCCCACTACTCTCCCCTGCACCCCCTGACTGCACGCAGACGGATTCCAGCCGGGAATGGGGGGTCCCCGCTGCCTGACCAGAGAAATGCATTGGCCAAACCACTGATACCCCGTTCCCAGCTTGTGCTGCTTCTCTCTTTAGGCTCTGCATCATCCACACACTCTCCAATGCCATTGTCCCCTCCCCATCCTGATGGGAACAGCCCCCAATGCTTGTGCCGATGGGGAGAATCCTCCTCCCTCGGGCAGGACCTTCCCATCTTGAGCTCGGCTCTGCACTGGCCATCACTCTTCAATAGGGTCTTACTGCCTGGGTTTGTGTCTCTGCAATGAAGCACCAGAAATCCAGAGTTTCCAAACTATCACCTTGCTTTATGCTGACTCTGCAGTACAAATGTGTGTGAAGCAACGCCTGGGCTTGCGGTGGGTCCCTGGGACTCGCAGGGGTGGCTGCAGTGACCATGAACCCATTGATCTGGGAAATCCATGTCTTGCCCTTCATGCTGTTCTCAGCTCTGGCCAATGCTGTTATAAAAAGGGTATTTTCTGTGGAGTGCAAGACAGGAGGGAGGAGGCAAGCTGGTTCATAATGAAAAAATATCACTTAAAGCAGGTCCTTTGTTAAAAATTCTTGCAGAAGCAGGCTGGAATTTCTGACACTGCTTTAATCCACGTCATGACTTGGAAGCTGCTTGGATTTAGACCTGTCTGTAACTTTTCGTCTTTTCTCTTTCTTGCAAGATTGTTCCAGTGAACTTCAGTATTTTTAGTCTGATCCAGGAAATGCGCACGCAAAGGCCTTCCATAGTGCAGACCAAGGTACATTCGGGAAATTTTGCCAATTGGTATATTCTCCATACTGGGACGACTGGTACAGTCTCCATACTGGGATGACTGGTGTACTCTCCACACTGGGACCTCAGCTTTTACCAGCAGGGTTAGCAGTGGGGAAACACAGAGCGGTCGTGTTGCTGGGAACTGGGGTGTGTGGATGTTCTGTAAGGTCCCTGCTCTGAACAGAGGGTAGCTGACCCTTTCCCCGTGGATGGCTGGAAGGGCTTAGTGCTTGCAGCCTGGTTTATCGAAGGCTTATGCTGTGAAACCAGGGACTGTCCAGGAAATCAAGTGGGAACACTTCTCAGCTGAGATAGGCTGAAGAGGAAGCTCAATGCAGAACAGTGTTATTTGTGCACTCGAAAAACCCCCAAATGGTTCAGTCTGAGCCCTTTGAAAGTTGTGGCTTCTACCTCTTCTGAGAATTCACCCTGCAATGGACTAGAAAGTGGCAGCTCCTCTCAGGGGCTGATGCTTGCTTTGGGTACAGGTGACCATATACAAGTCCTGCAGGGCTGGCTCTCATCTCTGCTTTATCTCTCTGGGCCACAGGAGCAGTATGAGCTGGTTTATGATGTGGTGATCGAGCTCTTCGAAAGGCAGATTAAAGCACTTGATGCCCAGGAAGATTCTGCTGCTTCACAGGTACAAGTCTCCAGGATAAACACGCTGCCTCTCACCTCGGGCATTCCTGCTCTAACCTCATTCCTGCTGCAGGGTTTCCTCCACACACCTGGGATGAATCCTGTGTTTTCTGCTGCCCTCGATGCCCAAACTGAGCCTCTTTTCACGTTAACCCATGAGAATCCAGCTGTTTCCCTGGATGTGCAATGCTTATCACAGGATTTGGTCCCAGGCGAGAGCTAAACTTTTTTTTTTGGTCTCGAAACCTTTTATATATATTTTTATAATTGTTTAATGTAATGAGTGACTAGAAAAGCGCCAGCTATCTACAGTAGCAGCTGATTTCCATGTGGGTGTTCCAGTGAAACTTGTCTTGATGGAGTGCTTGCAAGGAACAGAGTGACTTTCAGTCTGGGCTGGGGAGCTTTGGGTACACACCGGGGTATGGCCAAGGGTGCAAGATGGTGCTTCTCTAGTGCAGAAACCAGCGTTACAGCTGGTCTGGGGGAGACAGTAGGCTGAAATAGCTTGTGAGAACACACATCAAATCTTTCAAGTCTCATACACCTCCAAAGGGAAACTATGTGGTCTTGGTATGAAGTAGCACATGAACAGGAACATCCAAAGCATCCATGGTTAAGCTTTTCTTTGCTCTTGCTGTTCTTTTGTGGCGTGAACTTCACCTTTCCTGTGCAGCCGTTTGCAATCTGGCTGAAGTCAACGCCTTGCCATTCTTAGGCAAAGGCTGAAATTACAATTAGCAGAATTTGTCATGAGCTTTTTTCTAAAGAATTGGGAACAGGATCCTGTGATGGGACTCGTGCCTGAGTTTTGCTGTAGCTCTTGCAGGATGTTCCAAGCTGGGCAAGAAAGAGCCATTTTCTGTGTGTTGTGGACAATCTGTAAGCAAAGGAGACAAAGGACTAATTTAGGGAAACTATGTGGTCTTGGTATGAAGTAGCACATGAACAGGAACATCCAAAGCATCCATGGTAAAGCTTTTCTTTGCTCTTGCTGTTCTTTTGTGGCGTGAACTTCACCTTTCCTGTGCAGCCGTTTGCAATCTGGCTGAAGTCAACGCCTTGCCATTCTTAGGCAAAGGCTGAAATTACAATTAGCAGAATTTGTCATGAGCTTTTTTCTAAAGAATTGGGAACAGGATCCTGTGATGGGACTCGTGCCTGAGTTTTGCTGTAGCTCTTGCAGGATGTTCCAAGCTGGGCAAGAAAGAGCCATTTTCTGTGTGTTGTGGACAATCTGTAAGCAAAGGAGACAAAGGACTAATTTGACACAAAAACGGTTCAAGCCCGGATGTGGTTTTGTAGCTCGTGGCCAAACCTCTCGCCCACCTCAGCCTCGCTGTCCTGAAAACGCTCTGCAGAGCACATGGCTGACGTGTCACACGTGGGACTGGGCTGAGGTGTCTCAGGGTCTGCCTGGGGACCCGACAGCAGAGGTGTCTGTGCAGGCTTGGAAATTCCAACTCCTGAAATGGCATGTTTGTGTTCTTTGCATTCTTTCTCCTCACTCCTGCTTTCTGACCTTTTCTTTCACTAGGTACAAACAAGGCATCCTGTGGCCAAGCCTCTTCTGACTCCAGTGGAAGATATCTATTCCCTGAGTTTACTAACCTGGTAAGGCCATGGCACAAGCACCCTGGGTTAGCATTTTCAGTCACCCGTGCGATTTCAGGAAGATGCATTTTTTAACATGTGCTTTGTGACACAGTTCTGTTTGAATGTAGCATTTAATTTATCAGCAGGATCTGTTGCCTCCCATGAGTCCCACTCTGACTCTCACTGTTCTGAGCATAACTCTCTTCTCGTTGATGAGACTGAGTCTCAGCCTCTCCCCTGTGGGCATTATCTGCCCCCTCTTCTGCCCGTGGGTCTGTTTCATGTTGTGCTCACATGATGTTTCCCGTAGGCACTGAAAACATGTCATAGGGCAATATAAAAAAAGTCTCTTGTACCTGGAGACCCCCCCAGTGCCGGTTCCCCTCAGCCCAGAGTGGTTCACCCTGCCCAGGAGCCCCAACCAGTCCTGTCTTCCAGCTTCCCATGCTGCTCTGGTGCCCACATCGGAACCTGATGTGGGCAGCTTCGGAGGGGGGTGGGATCTTCCTGTGGGCATCTTGTGGTTTGCAGTGTCTGCTTTCTGTAAAAAACTTCACTTTTTGGTGCAGCCTGCACTGAGGGTGTATTTCACGCATTTAAAAGGGCTCCTCTGATGCACCATTTGATGGTGTTTGAAGATGCACCAGGGAGCAGAGTCCTGCCTGGTGCTCCTTGCTGGAGGCTGCAACGAGCTCTGTGTTGCTGGGTCTGCTCTCAGGAGCCATGTTGTGGGGCCCCGTTAGCAGATTAACGGGCATTTCTGAGTACTAGATGGCTTTGAGTTCATATCGTGGTGCTCTGTTGCAGCTCGGAGCAAGAGCAACAGGATGTGCATCGAGGTCTTCCTCCGGCGGTACAAAGCAAAGCCCCCCCGACATCGTGGTCTGCCACGGGAGGACAGGACAGCCCCGGACATGGAGCCCAGCCCATCAGACAGGCCATCTCCTTCAGCACCTTGAACTTCATCAACTGCAGGAAGGTGGCTGTCGCCCCGATGTGGGGCACTGGGGACACTCTTCAGAAGCACCGCAGTTTGGAGCTCAACAGCATCTCCCCGGAGCAGCTGCTTCTCCCCCTGGAGCCGCCGGGAGCCGGCAGGGGAGGGCCCCGTGGCAGACCCCCTCTGACACGGACTACATCATCCCCCTTCGTGCTGCCGCAGCAGGGAGAGGGCTGGAAACAGGGTGGAGAGGATGCAAAGCCCATTTTGAATTCACAGTTGCCAAACGCCGGCTACTCGAGCTCTCGGGTGAAGACGCAGGACAGATTTTCCCCTGTGGAGCCAATCCACTTGAGCCGAGACGTGGATGGCCCCCCAAGCCGCAGGAAACATGGACAATGTCCTTACCCTTACTGCTGCTCAGCAGAAGACCCCTACTTCTCTTCCCTCTCTCCAGACGACCCCGCGTCCCCCGTGTTTGCCAAGAGCTTTGCGGAGGGGCAGGATGCACCTCTCCCTCCTGGAGCTGCGAGGGCCCCGCTGCAGCCCGCCATGGCCAGCCCCCCGCCGCCCGGGGCCGTGTCCCACCGTGCTCCACGGCTGCGTGACGAGAGGGTGTCCTCCCCGAGCAGGATGTCCTGCCCGAGTAAGTGGGGGGCTCTGCAACGAGCAGGGTTTGGTGAGTGGGGATGGTGATGCACTGGAGGGGTGTCTGATGGTGCCCAGGCAGGGCTGCGGCTGCTCCTTGGGGCTGTGCTCCCACGGGAACATCCTCGCACTCATTTCATCCTGCCTTAAATTTTTTCCATAAAAATAAATGACATTTTTAGAGCAGCATGGTTCTGGGTTTTGCACTACACAGCTGCTCTGGGCTACTGTGTCACCAGGTTGGGCTCTCAGGGAAATGGGGCCAACTAATTTTTAAAGACCAGGCTTCAAACAGGCTGATCTTAAAACTGGCTGATCCGAGAAGCGGTCAGAAAGCTCCCAGAAATGGTTTTCTCTGAGGAGCTACTTCCCAAGTCAAAAAGCCGCTCCTCCCTGCAGAGTGTCCTGTGTCGTGACATCCCACTGAGGCTGAGCAAACCAGGACTTCAGCATTAGTGTCTTTCCCAGATCTGTAGCCTTAAAACCATCCCCTGCCGTATGAAGAAGGAGAACCCTTCCTTGCTCTGGTCAGTCCTGGCCCAGTCAGACATTTCCCATTGTCCACAGCTGTGGCGTTGGCTGGGCTGCGTCCTGCTCAGCATTCAGTGCCCATTGTCACAGCACTGTGCTCGTTATCTGGGTGCTGGAGCCTCTCGAGAAGCACTGGGAGCTGTGACACTAGCCCCACAGCGATGGTGGCCATGGGCCAGCGTGCTGGGCCTGCGCCCCTCATTGTCAACGGGCAATGGCAGCTCTGTGGCTGGCGCTGCTGGACACCCACCCTTGGGGCCACGTAGCTGGTGGCAGGAGAAGTGGTGCTGAGGACTATCTGGATTTTTATCTTCCGTTTAGAAGCGTTTAACCATCATCTCTGGTGCGTGGGCTGGGCGAGAGCAGTCAGCTCTGAGTCTCTGCCATCCGGTGATCTGTCCCTGTCTCCCCAATTAGCCATCCTGCCACAGCCAGAAGATGATGATCCTCCGCCCCTGCCCGAGCGAACCCCCGAGTCCTTTATCGTGGCTGGAGAATCTGGTAAGTGCATTTAACAAAGTGGGGGCCGAGCAGTGCTCTGGGGGTTCTCCCCACATCTGTATGGTGCCTTTGCTGCGGCTGCCGGGGATGGGAAATGACCTCTCTTGTGTCCAACTGTTTCTAGGACAATTTCCTCTGGCCACTTCTGATTTTCAGCTTCCAGCCAGAAACACAAATATCGGAACCTCTCTGGAGTGGAGTGGTGAGTCTCACTCAGAGAAGTTTAACAACTCGGTGAGACTCAGACCGTGTAAGGTGCGTACGTGGCTTTTCATCTCTTCTCCAGCGCTATCACTATGCCAATCTCCTCACCATGTTTCCTTCTGTGAGAAAGGCTCTAGTTTTGGCACTGTGCACTTTACATAAATTATTTCAGGGTTCAGGACTGGGAGGAAGATGTGGTCTCAGTCAGGGTCCTCTTTATCAACGTCTACTTTACTCCAAACATTAATTTTTGAGGTCCTGAATCCCAGACAAGGTAGTACGAATATTGTCCCTTTTAGAGAAGGATGATGACGACAGGAAGTCAGTGTTCTGCTGAGGTTCACACCGCCCGGTGGAACAGGCAGGAGCTGAACCAAATTTAGGCATTTCTTGACCATCCCATAGAGGAATGATAGCTTTGTAAAGTGAAACAATAAGGCGTAAGTCTATCTTCCATTACATGAGCATGGAGGTGTGTGTGGGAGGGTGTTTGCACATAACATCATTTCCTCGCCTTCTCGGGCTTGCTTGTGTCAAGGGAACCACGTTTGGCTGTGCCATTTCAAACACTTTCCTTGTTTTTTGTTTCCAGAGTGTGAAGCTTCGGAGCCCACAAACAGGTATAAGTTTAATGCTGGGATAAACTGTCTTTGGAAATGAGGTCTGCTTTTTACTGAAGCTGCTTTACCATGCTCAGTAAATGTCTTTAGGATCTGTGCTCCGTCCAATGGAAACTTTGTGTTGCTAAGTAGTTCTGCAACTAAATAGTTCTAAACAGAACTAGACAGTTCTGCAACCAAACGAAGAGCTAGTTCTGTATTTCCTAACCCACACATGACGATGGTCCCTGCAGCCTCCCCAGGCTGAGGGCTGTCGCATCTTTAGCTGATGAGATGACTGGCCTATGCCAGTTAAAGCACTGTGGACCTCTCAGTGAAAGGATATATCTATTTAAAGCTTGCCAACCAGCTCTTTTATCTTTACTTTCTTAGAGACAACCCGGGATCGCTCTAACTCTCCTCCTCCACTTCCTGAAAGAACCCCAGAGTCATTTGTTCTTGCTGAGGCAGCAAGTAAGTGACGAGTTATTTTCTCAGCATGTAACTGAGATTTTACACTCACACCTCAGCCTGCAGGGAGCTGAGGAGATCGCACTTGTGCAAGGCATCACCAATGGTAGCGCTTCGGGACTGAATGCAGGAGAGTTCAGCAGATAGAAAGAAAGTAAAGGCAACTGGGGGACCTGCTGGAAACTTCTAGAGCTGCTGCATTACAGGAAATGAAAAGCAACAACAAAGCCCTTAGAAAAAAGCAAGAGGGTTCTTGAATGACCTCTGAAAATGTTGTGATCTGTGTTCCCAGGTCTGCAGCCTGCTGCTAGAAATTCTATGTCAAGTCCTCTGGGCTCGGAGAAGAGCACTTCTGAAACGTGGCCAGAGCCTACGAAATGCTTCAGGAGAAGCAAGGTAACGGAAAGGAGACGAAGCAAGAGCCATTGGGAAGGGAGGGGGAGAAGAAGAGATGTTCTAGTTACAGCTACTGCTGCTTTCTCACTGCCGACCTTGTGAAAATTGCCTGCTCTGAGACCGCTCATGTTTAGGGCAAGGAAACAAGACTAATAAAAATACTCTGGTGTAGAATTGCAAACTAAAGCCCCGTCTGTGCTAGAACAGTCACACAGCCCGACCTGTGCGAACGCCTCGGGCTCCGAACACCCCCATCCCAGCTCCTCTCAGGAAAAGCTGCTCCAGTGGAGTCCAAATTCTCATGTTGGGCAAGTGCTGCTCGTCAGCCCTCTCCTCCTCCTGTGGCCCTCGTTAACTATCTCATGTGCAATTGTACTTCGGGATGTTACAGTTGAGTACAAAAGCATTTGAGGAAAGCAGCAGGAATAATGGAAACTGGAGGCATTTGGGTTGGGTAGAAAAAAGGCAGGGACAAACCGAGCAGCAGAAATCTGCATTTCAGTTTGGGCACAATGCTTCTTGTGAGACGTGTAATTTATCAGTGCATTCCCTTCATCATAGTACCTGAGCTACTGCTCCCTACATTTTTTTCCAACAAGCTGCCTTTTTTTTTTCTTCCCTACAGAGCTTGAAAATATTGAAAAACGTGAAAAAGAGTAAGTCTGCATCTTCCTGATGGCTTTAAGCAAGTGGGGCAAGAACTTGCCCCATCCTGGATTCTACCCAGGGTACACGGAGCATAAATAAGGAGTTTCTCATTAAGTTGCCTTTGATCTATAATTAAGATGCTTATCTGGCAAACAGGACCTCTAAAAACTGTTTAAAGTGGTTCTGAGGAAATATTTTCTGAATGGACTGTGCTGCAGTAAAGCACTCACCCCCTGCTACGAGCAAATAACGTCCTTAAAGCCGTGTGACATTCCAGCTCTGAAGTGGACTGTGCTGCAGTAACGCGCTCGCTCCCTGCTACGAGCGAGTAATGTCCTTAAAGCCGTGTGACATTCCAGCTCTGCAGCTGGAAGATGCTTAACTTTGTCTTGTGCTGTCACGCGTGTCTCTGCGTGTTTTCCCACACGCGTGTCTGAGCCCAGCTCTTCAGGGAATTACCACAGTGACTGAGTGCTTCTCATTTCTTATTTCTAGGCATCTGCAGCCCATCTTCACAGACAAAACCATCAGAATCGGCCCCATCAAACCATTCCAGGTCTTTCCTTAACTTTGGTATGGTTTTGTCTTTATATTTTGGGGTGGGAAGTGCCTGTTTTTTGAAAGTCTAAATGCAGGTACAGGGCTGAATGCTAAAAAATTACAAACATTACAAATGTTTATTAGTTTTTCACTCATTCACAACTTTATGCACGAACTGTTTAAAGACCAGGTAAGGATGGAAAACATAGACCCTGAAACCTGCTCTGACAATTGTTTCTCAGAGTGTGAACAGCCTGAAGCGTGTGTTTGTCTTTCCTGTATCTCAAAGCCTTTATGTGGCGACAGAGACAGCGGAAGAAAAGACAAAGCCGTGGCACAGGGCAGCTGCTGACGCTGGGTAACACCACAGAGGAGAAATACCCTGTTTTCCACTTAAAATTCTTCTACAAGAGAGTGGTCATTTATTAGATTTGGCATAAAATCTAGTTATCTTGATATTGCTGCTATAATGACAGTATTTGTCAGACAGACACACCCATAGGCTGTTTCTGCTCCAGTTGACTTACAGCTACAGGATGTTGTTTTAACTTAAAGTTTGGGAAAGTACTGAAATTTCAAGTATTTTTGAATAACGTATTATCCTAAGGAATTACACAATCAACACCTATAACATACAGAATCTGTTGCATTAAAAAAAAATCATTTCTTCCCAGGCTTTGCAAATCGATTTTCAAAACCTAAAGGACCAAGAAACCCACCCCCAGCATGGAACATTTAGATATTATTTACAGGAATTTGTGATTCGTGAAGTGCTGCTGATCCGCCTGGAGTGCTCATCCCAGTGAGGTTTCCATCACAGTAAATACCCCAAAAGCTGTTGCGTGGTACTTGCAGCTCAGGCACTACTTGAACGTTCCTCATCAGCTAAAGTTTCAAAGCAGAGGAGCTCACAGAGTAACCAGCAGCCCAGCACTTTCAGCTAATTTACGACAGGATGGAAACTAGAAGTGGGAATAGGTATTTTATCCTAAGGAAGGACACATTTCTGTTGTGTTTTGGAATGTATTCACTTCGAAAGGATGGCTTTGAACTCTCTGAGACAGAGCAGTGTGCACTGGTGAGGGGATCCAGCCGGGATGCTGAGGGATGCAGAAGGACCATGGCAGGACCGAAGCAGGATCAGGCTCTGGAGGCTGTGAAGGCAGCACGGATGGAACTTCACCCCCGGGATTACAGACCCCAGCTTCTGAAGTGTTTACATTTCTTGGAGTAAAACAGAATTAGCATCTCAGGTTTTAGAAATTATTTTCCCTTTAGGTTTCTTTTTTTTCCATCTGAGTGAATCAGATGATTTGTCTCGATTGTCGCTCAGTAAGACTAAGATGCTGACTGACCACAGAGGGACTGGACCAGCGCTATCGGGTGGCAGAGCGTGCTGACCTGGCTGCCCGTGCCACCCAAAAAACCAAACCCCAGTGAGCAGAGACCACTGGCAGCGCGTGTCACCACGTCCCACAGCAACCCCAGGGCAACACCTCCAATGCACGTCTGGGGAGATGACATTTCTAGACAGATTCCTCTGCTATTTATATCCTCAGCGGGAAGGGATAAAGATGTTGAAAACGGCTTTGTGTGATTGTTTTCTGGCAGAGAGGGGAAAACAGGGTGGGAGCAGTTATTTGGGGTGAGGGTGGCAGAGCCCTGGAAGAGGCGGCCCAGGGAGGGTGTGGAGGCCCCTTCTCTGGGGATGAAGCCCCCCCCGGGTGCTGTCCCGAGGGATGTGCTCTGGGAACCCGGCCTGGGCAGGGGGTTGGACCGATCATAGAATCATAGAATCGTCTAGGTTGGAAGAGACCCTTGGGATCATCGAGTCCAACCATCTCCCCTACTCTACAAAGTCCTCCCCTACACCATATCCCTCAGTACCCCATCTAAACGTCCCTTAAACACATCCAGGGATGGGGACTCAACCCCCTCCCTGGGCAGCCTGTTCCAATGACCGACCACTCTCTCTGTGAAGAATTCCTTCCTAAAGTTCAGTCTAAACCTATCCCCCCTAATGTTCAGTCTAAACCTACCCCCCCTTGTGCACTGGATGCTGGAGATACCTAGGTGGAGGCCCAAAGACAGCATTGTGAATGTGAAAATGCACCATACAGGGAAAATATGTGAAAGCAGACTATACGAAACTAAAGGCCAGCCAGCCTTGGTCTTTGAAAAAGCAAATGACCTGAACGTGCAGTTAGATCCTTGAAAAATTCCCCATACTCCTGTACTCGTTGAAAACTTCTGGCGAGTCATTTTTAAAGAATAAAACAGTAAAGAATTTTTAAAGAATAAACAGATAATCATCTCTAGAAGGTTAGAAGGTCCTTTCCAACGCCGACAACCTCCGTGATTTGGGGGATTGGGTCAAGACCGGAGCCCGCCGGCCGCGCCCAGAGACCTCCAGCCGCTCCCCCGGCACCACAAACCCGCACCTCACGGGCCCGAGGCCCGCTCCGAGGGGAGCAGCCGCTCCCGCTCCCGCTCCCGCCCGCCCGTGACGGACGCAGCGTCTCGTCACGCGTGAGAAACCCCGCGGAAATAAAGCGTGTTTCTGGCCGCGCTGTGCGAGGGTCCGGTCCCGGGGCTCCCGGCGCCGCCATGACGGACCCGCGCGCAGCTCCCGGCGCCCTGCGCGCCGCTGGGCCACGTGACACACCCCCCCCTTTCCCTTCCCGGCACCCCCCGCGCACGCGCGCGCCCCCGGACTACAGTTCCCGCCGCCGCCGCCGGGAGCGGGCCGTGGCGCGGCGCCTGCGCGGTGCCGCCCCGGCGCTCGGGCCATTTAAATGTGTGTGAGGGAGACTGTGAAATGGCTGCGCAGGTCGCTGCGGTGCGCGCCGTCTCCCGGGCCCCGGAGGAGCCGCCTCCGCTTCCCTCAGGGGACCGGCCCGGCCGGCCCCGTGGAAGCGGGCGGCGGCGACGGGG